TTTTATTCCACCCTTATATTATATATTTCGAATTGGTAAATCGAAAGTTATATATATACTATATACAAGTATGTAATACGTATATGTGCGCACAAATCTATAGTTTTTGAAGGAATCCAATTTTTTTTTTTGTTTTTCAAGATCTGTAGACGTCCTATTCTCAGATTCATCTTACATACACATCAGTATTATATGATCGAATATATAATTCTAGGTTATCTTGGATATTAATTTTATACATTCTGTTTTGGATTTATAACATAATTGCAGTACTTCAGAAATCAAATACTCCAGGAAATATTTAGCTAGGTATAGTAGTGGAACGAAAACGAACCAATTATTGGAAATGTTGACGTTAAACTAGAACATTTTATGAAGCGCTGCGTTCGTTTCTTCCACATGTTATTAAAACGGGTTTCGAAAAATAATGACTTATATCACTAATCATGGGAAACAATCATTAGCGTATCTTTAGATTTATAATTAAATTCAAGTCGTAATACACCTATATTTAAATGAATGGGTATAATGACATATTATTGTACACGTATGTATACGTAATACGTAAATGTACATTGCGTACAAATCATAGAAATTTAATCTAATATTACATTTTAGTTATCATTGCCGACATTATAAAAAGCAGTTGGTTGTTAAACTCTAGTGGAACGCGTTGTTATTCATTTTATTAGCAACTATTATTATTTATTTTCGCCAGTGCGTTACGAAATAAAAATTTCCATGGTCAAATAGGAGTTGTTCAACAAATAATTATTTATTAATCGAATATTTTAATAATAAAAAAAAAAAAAATTGTATATTGCTATTTTTAATAAGATTTCGGCGTTTTCATTATTATGAAGTAAATATACATTAATAATATACTGGTAACGAGGTATCGGACTATACACAAACACTAAAATATTATTGACACAATTAGAATATCAAGGATATTATTTACATACAATAAGCTGTCGAAAAATGTAAATTTAAAAGCATATTTATTTAGTACAGTTATCACATTAATGTAATCAATCGAGTCCACCGAAATATCCAAAATAAACGATAAAAATATAATGATAGTTATCGATTAAAATTCATGTTAAACTGGCACTGCAATAATATTCATCTACTCAACTACCTCGTAATATCACCTTACTATGCTTATCGCTTCTAAAAAATATACACACACACACACTTACACACATGTTCATACACTCTTTGCTAATCGTAATAAAATAATGTCGTTAACCCCAAAGTACACGTGACGGTTTATTTAATATTTGAAACGAACAACTTTACGAAATCCTGTTAAGCGAAACGTCAACGAACATAATATCCTGTATTCGACACGCGTAAAAGCAGTCGTCACTCTGTGCACTGCAACTAACCACCATTGATCCAATTTCTCACGTCATAATCACATTTGAAATTTTGTTATTATTTATGTGTCATTTTTGTTTAAAAGTTGGTGTATTGGCTAAATGTCGATATTGTCAGGTATGGGTAACAAGCATTTTAGTTATGAGCACATGCATTAACGTGGTAACATTAATAACAGTTTGATTGCGGGACTTGGTAAGGTACGGTGAATGATGGTATAGGAAGCAGGGCTGGAACCTATAGGTTTTTTCGGTTCCGGTTTCGGTTTTGGTTGTTTAATTAATTTTTTAAGGGTTTCGGTTTTTTAAAAGATTAAGTGTTCTATAACCGATTAGTTTTGGTTAATTCTGATTACTAGAGATTTATTAAAAATAATTTGAAATTATTTATTTATTCTTATTTAAATTATAATTGTTTCATTTCATAAAAATAGAAGGTATTATAAATATTTAAAAAAAAAAATTATAAATATATACAGGTTAGGTTAGGTTGACCTAACCTATATATTATATCAATCTATTATATTTCTTTGAGTTAGGTTGTTATTATATTCCAACTCATAGTAAAAATTTGTAAAATATTTTGTAATATTGTGGAATATTATTTGTTGAAATAAATATCTTTAATTTAAAATTTAATTTTAATTAGGAATCAAAGTTAATGCTGGCTACTGTTTTAGCTACAAATTTGTATAAACATTGATTATATTTAATACTTAATAGACAAGATAGATGATATACTCATAGTAAAATGTAATGTATTAATATACACAGAGCCGGCCTTAAGCAGGGGCCGGCGGGGCCCCTGCCCCGGGCCTCACGCTTTTATAAATCATTTTCGGCCTCGCGTGAAAATATCTTAAAGTTATATTGCTTTATAAATTATATTAAATAAATATGAGGGCATGAAGTTTCAAATTGCTATGAATAGTAATTTAATAGTACTCAATTCGGGTTTTTCCATGTTTTTTTTTCATATCTTATCGATGCCAATGGAGAATAATATATATAATCATACCTATTCTCACCATCGAACCTTTTACAATGATGTTTATAGTTATTATCAATTAGGCTATTATTTGTCACACACCACAGTGACTCAATGACTCCATCCAGAATCATAATTATTTTAATTTCATTCTCGAAACCCCATCAAACGCTAACCAGCAGCATCTTACTTTCGTAAGTAATTACTCTTATTACCCATTTATTTAAAATAGTAATATTTTTATAAAAATTAATCTTAATTTTTCAATGATTATATTTTTATCATTTTACAAATGAGAGCATTAACAATTTAACATACATAAATAAAATTGAAATTAATTTTTTTTCGCATATTTCTGCATATTTCATAGTTATTGTATATTTTCGCATATTGCAACAAAGTTCAAAAATTATTGCATACTGAAGAGACATTTTTTAATAAAAGGTACCTAATACAATAATATTTCGTCAAGTGAAAAAATCAAAAGTAAATTTTATAGGCACTAAATAGAAATTAAAATAAAGATAAGATAATTAATTTATATTAATTTATCAATAACTTTAAGTTATTAATTATTATAGACAGTTGAGGAAATGAAACAGTGTATATTAATAATTAATATATAAATAATTAACAGACACAGCGTCTTATAGTATGATTAAAGCAGGGACGTCTCTGAAAATATTTTATACTAATAATATGATCTATCTAACATGTACTGCTCATGTTTGTAATCGTCTTTCAGAAAAAATAAAGGAGTTCTTTCCAAAAGTTAATAATTTAATTAATTAAGGAAAAAAATATTTTCATATAAATATTTTTATTTTAATAATAATTAAATTAAAAAAATAAATTAATTTATAATACCTTTTTAATAATATTTAAATATATCGTTATTAATATTTTTATTACTATTGTACAAATTTTTGATGTAAATAATGTTCTTATATTTTTTTATTTTGACCAATAAATTATTTTTCTTGCACATCTTTACGATTTTGACAGCATATTAGATGGCATATTTTGGTACATTTTAGTGCATATAAATCCGTACTCTACTCATAACTAAAGCGTGGATTTATATTATTTTAAAATGGATAGAATTCATGCAATACTATATAGTATAATATAAAATATTTTATACAAATATTTTTTCTTATAATAACTAAGTATGCTCTTTTATGTAAAAACCATTTTTAGATTCTGAGTGAAGTGAAGGATCTTAAAATTTAAAAATTTAAATATGTTATTTTCTTACAAACAACACAAATTTCGCCCCCCCTCCCAAACAAAAAGTATTAAAAGGTTTCTTTTAAATGACAAATGATTGTGGTTTTATTTGTTATTGGAAATATTTAAAATAATATTTCACTATTTCTTGTTTCAGCAGTTTTTTATCTTTACAATAGGCCGTGATCGAGATAAATTTAGAAAATTTGAATTGGGCAGTGAAAAATTAAAAAAAAAAAAATTAAAAGAAAAATTCTTAAAGAGTCAAACTGGTGCCTTTCAAAAGTTTTTAAAACTTCCACAAGAAAATAATATAAATCAAATAGAATCGCAGAATAAAAATAAAGCCCCATTGTTTCCTAATAGTACTTCCTCTTTGAATGAATCGCCCAAAAATGTAATTTTGACCGATCCCGTTTTGTGTCTTAATTACGAACAAGAAATTTCTAATAATATTAATTTAAATATGAATCAAGTAGAAAGTATTAATTCAAATTTAAATGAAATGACTTATGATCAAAATTATAGTGTTTTTCAAAATGTTGAAGATTTTGGTGAATGGCCTCATAGTTTAAGTATTAGAGAGAGAGATACAATTATTGAAAAAGGTCCAAATGAAATTTTTAATTACGATTTTACAATAAAAATTAGTGTCAGTGAGAGAAAGAGAAAATTCTCAGTTGATTATTTTTATAGAACTTTATCTAATGGTGAAAAAGTTAGACGTAGATGGTAGTTTATTCGAAGAAAAAAAGATGTGGTTCATTGTTTTTGCTGTAAACTTTTTGAAAATGCATGTAATAGTGGCTTGGCGGATGATGGACTTAATGATTGGAAACATATTGCAGAGAGAATAAAAAGTCATGAGTGTTCTCAAAATCATTTACTCAACATTGAAAAATGGATTAGTTGTGAAATAAGAATGAAAAAAAAACATAACAATTGATAAACAAAATTTAACATTAATCAGAAAGGAAACAGAACATTGGCGGGCAATTTTAATTCGTATTCTTTATGTTGTACATTATTTATCAGAACGAAATCTCGCTTTTCGGGGTGAAAGTGACACATTGTTTAATTCAAATAATGGTAATTTTCTGGGGGTTATAGAAATGTTAGGCAAATTTTATCCCATAATTTCAGAACATATTCGAAGAATTCAATCAAAAGAAATACATAACTATTATTTAGGAAAAACTATACAAAATGAATTCATTAATATATTGGTATCCTCTGTATCAAAAACAATTTGTAAAAAAATAAATTCAGAAAAATATTATTCAATTATACTAGATTGTACACCAGATTTAAGTCATAGAGAAAAGTTATCGATTATATTGCGTTGTGTTGATATGCATTCTGAAAAATTAAAATTGAAGAACATTTTATTAAATTTTTAGAAATACATTCATCAACTGGAGAAAATATTAGTTCAACTATTCTTTCGGAGTTAGATAAAATTGGCATAAATATAAAAGATTGTAGAGGGCAAAGTTACGACAACGGCACTAACATGAAAGGTAAGTATAACGGAGTACAAGCTAAAATTCTTTAAAAAAATCCAAAAGCATTTTTCACTCCATGTGCATGTCATAATCTAAATCTGCTATTAGGAGATATGGCCAAATGTAATTCGAAAGCAATGACATTTTTTGGTACAATGAATAGAATATATTCGTTATTTGCAGCTTCTCCAATAAGATGGTTTATTTTAAAAAAACATGTGCCTAATTGTTCAGTGAAACGACTATCGGAAACTAGATGGGAAAGTAGAGTTGATAGCGTAAAACCTATAAGATATCATGCTGCCTTAATTAGAGATGCTCTTATAGAAGTAGCTGAAAGTACAACTAAACCTACTATAAAAAATGAAGCTGAATCACTTGCGATAAATGAATTGGAAAATTTGGAATTTATTGTGAGCGTAATAATATGGTATGATCTTCTCCTATCGGTCAATAGCGTTAGCAAAATATTACAGTTAAGAGATATGAATTTGGATGTCGCAATCAACGGTTTAAAAGATTTACTACAGTTTTTAAAAAATTATAGAGATATCGGATTTAATTCTGCAATAGTTGATGCTAAAGAGATATCAACTATTTTAAATATTAACCTTGTGTTTAAAGAAACAATGATTCGAAAAAGAAAACGATTTTTTTCTTATGAGCAAGACGAAGAACCAATTAATTCTCAGAAATCACCAGAAGAAAAATTTAAAATTGAATATTTTTATCAAATTGTATATACTGCTATACAATCTATGGAATTACGTTTTCTACAATTTAAAGAGTATTCTAATATGTTTGGGTTTTTATATTCTCCTGAAAAATTACGTAATTTAAGTGAAAATGATTTGATGAAATGCTGTTTTGATTTGGACATTTCCCTGAGAGATGGTGAAAAACACGACATCAATGGCGCAGAACTTTTATCTGAGTTAAAAATTATCAGACAAATATTACCAGTAGAAATAAATACGTCCATCGAAGTATTACAATTTATAATAGATCTACAAAATTCATTTCCTAATGCTAATATATCTTATAGAATATTACTAACTATTCCAATAACTGTGGCCAGCGCAGAAAGATATTTTTCTAGATTAAAACTGATAAAATCATATTTAAGAACATCAATGATGCAAGAAAGACTCTCTTCACTTGCAATATTATCTATTGAAAAAGATATAGCTTCAAACTTAGACTACAACGAAGTAATTAATGAATTTGCTAAGTATAAAGCAAGAAAAGTCAATTTTCTCTAATCTGTAAATGATATAATTTAATTTATGATATTTAGGCAAACGATCAATTATAAATAAACAATAATGTCTTGTAAACTATTAATTATTAATTATTATGATATAGTTAATTTTTATTAATGTAATGCTCATTTTTAAATAAAAATAAAATAAGTCTTAATAATAGTATCCTTTGGTTAACATTTATTATTATAAAATTTATTATAAACAAAAAATTTAATTCAGTGGCTTCGGCTAAAAATATTGCCCTAGGCCTCGCTCCATCCTAAAGCCGGCTCTAAATATACATACAAAATTAATAATAATAATAATATTACAAATTTACTAATTATATGCATTACACTATTACTGTTTACAACACAAAATAATAAAAACATTAAAAGATTTGACTTTTATTTTTTGAACCGACAATTGGACAGACAAAATAGTCATTACCATAGTTTTACTAGTCTAAATAACTGATCTAAATTAACCCTTTTATAATTAAGGTTACGGTTAGGGTTACGGTTTTTCATTTTTGGAAATAAAGGTTCCAGTTTCAATTACGGTTCCTAAATTTTAAAGGTTAACCATTTCCAGTACTGGTTCTTTTCGGTTACGTTTCTGGTCCCTGGTAGGAAGACAAATAAATGTGTTTTTCCACAACATTGTCAACTGCTGTATAATATTTTAGAAAATGATCAAATGCGCTATAAGAGTATATAATTGTGAAACCGAGGCGTACCTGCGGTAGAACAAATATTTTAATTATTCTATTATTTCGTCACCACTTTTTGACTTATCGAGTGGGTATTGTCAACGCGTCATCAACACGGCACCGATGAAAAATCGCGGTCTCTCACGCGACGACTTTAAAAGTGCGGTTAATACGTTTTTAAACGGTATTAGAGTTGTATTGTTGCACTAAAAATAAATCCACACTATATTTATACTTAGATTATTTCACGCAAAACACGTATAAAACCATTAAACACGATCTCGCACAAGCTACCACACGCGTATAATTTGGACGTGGCTATTGGGACGTAAAATAATAAATAAATAAATAAATAAAAACGTTATATCGTAGTTTATACTGTATGGTTTAATATCGTATTATTGTAGAATATCGTGTCGTAAAATATGTAATAATAAAGTATTGCAGTTATAAATGAAATTCCACGTAAAAATGATATTACAGTTAAAATCTCATGGCTTTGAACTATTCTGAAAATTCGTGAATCTACATCGATAATTTTTATCATTTTTAGATCAGAAATATATTTCTCTTGAGTTTACTAAAAAGTATACCTAACCCTGCTCTTTTTGCAAATAATTATAAAAAAGGACCGCAAACTAAAACGTTGAACTCCGATGCCATAGTGTTTAATCTTCTGTTAGGTGTTTCGGTTTAACCATTTTTCTTTACGGCAATGGTAATATCCATTATGTTATTATACGGAGAGTTTTAACGTTACAAAATACCAGCATTTTAACGACCATTGCGTTTCTCTTTAAATGTATCGAGCAACACATTCCCGGGCAGTAATGTGTTTGGGTTCGAACGCGGATTCGAACGTGCCATTTTATTATTTCCCGGAGAATTTTCGTAGGGTTTTTATTGTCGCGTCAACATAACACCGAGGTCTCTCTGAACGAAAAATTGTGTCAAAACGCTACCGTACAATACATATTGTACATGCGTGCGCGCACGTAATACGTACGTAGTGCGAGGACATAAAGTGGTGGAGACGTTTCGTACAGTATCGTTATAATGTGTATATAAATGCAATAATAATAACGTTATTTATCGTATCGTATAGCTGTCGTAAATAATACTACGCAATGTGTGTAATATATGTGTACGGTAGTGAATGGGTGGCGTCAGGAAAAATCCACAACCAACGTCATCGTCTACACACACGCGCACACATATTTACATACACGTTCACACACACACACACGCACACACGCATTCCTCGAAGCGTTAAACCACTACACTCACAAGCACACAATCGGCACCCGAAAGGTTTTTCGTCGAAAGTGTTGCGCGTGTCATAACTTTTGCAAACGCGTATACACGCCAATGCGAGACACAGCGTAAGACGTATAAAATACATATATAAATTATATATTTGTACTATGTGCAGTGCGTATAATACTCTTTTATACATTTATATATATGAACGTACAGAGTGCATACGATGTTGTGTCGTCGACTGCGGTAGGGCCGTTGATTTATTGGCGCATTTATTTTGCGGAGCGATACCCAAGAACAATAAAAAGACGGAAGGACAACGAAAATCTCAGTTATCCTATGAATTATATAGACCACGCCATCACATATATATATATGTGTGTGTGTGTATATACATAAAAGTTAAGGGGATGACACCCTTTTACCACCCCCACCGAGGGTGCAAGGCGACTTCACAGTGCGCGCTCAGAGAGAATGCCCCGGTTTATATATTACTGTTTTTGTGTGTGTGTCGTAAAAGATTTAAGCTACTTAGTAGACGGTTAAGTGGTATCGGTCTGACGCCCCTGCGGTGCACGCCAAAGCTTCTTTTCTTCGGTTTTCCGCCGCCACAGCCTATCCCGTCCCCGGTTAGTTATCACCACCACCACCACCACCCTCTAGGCTAACACAAACCCCCGGCAATATTGTTTTCCACCGCGCGCACGTCTTTCCGGCACTCTGCTGCGGTTTTCCGCGACTCCGAATTCCGCCGAAATCACGACCGTTGTACACGTACACAAAATGTGATAAGCAATACGAATCTACCGACTGCCACAAATACGCGCACGCACAGTTTTTCTTGTATTCTTTCATTTTATTTGGGCTGCTGGTCTTCATTGGCGTATTATGAACAGGTTTAAAAAACCTTTCACGTGTTTTCTTGTTCTTGGCGCCCAATATTACAGTGTACAATTCGTACTTATATTTACGTTCCTGTGTGTATGTATCTTATCATTTATAACATTTTATGCACTACTGCAGTATTGGTTTTCCGTAATAAATTATTTTTATTGTTTGCTATATAATATGATAATGCTATAATAGAATAGATTCAATATTTTCGCCCTAAAAGTACGTATATATCACGAACAATTCTTTACTCTACTAACGATGACATTCCGTTAAGTACTTTTGTGTATCGGATCTTTTTTAATTAAAATAAGTTTATTTATTTTCCTGCAGCATAATAATTTCAAAACATCCGTAAATTAAATTTTTCTGTGATATCGTTGACATTTTCAGTTTCGACACATTTCGCAGGAATATTGTGGTATTCGGAACAAATCAAAATTCAGGTTTTCATGTAAAAACTCTCTAAACTTCAATAAGCAAAGCACTAATAATATATTAAGAAAAAAAAAAAAACCACAAAAATATTCAAAGGCTGGCTTTGCGCGTGTCTAGTCAATAAAACAGACAATATTATTATACCCGAACAAATAATAACCGAAAAATATAAGCACTCAGTTAATTTCAAAGAATTTTCTTAAATCTTAACAAATGCTTTATTACGTATGAAGCCGGATTGAGTTGAAATGTTAGCACACGTCATGCAATAGAAAGTAATTGATAAAAGTCGTAAGAAAGTAAAGAGCCAGTGACCGAGTTTGAACAATTCATTTAAGGAACTTACTTTTATCTATTTCGTGGTACTACCAAGGCTGTGAAGAGAGAAACCCGGACCCGAGGTGGATCATCCCTTCCCCCTTCTCGTCATGCCTAGGTACTACTACATATGAAACGCGATTTTCAACAAAAAAACCTCACAGTGGTGCTATTTTGTGGATCGCGTGTGTTTTGCGTTGAGTTAATTTAACACACTATGTACAGATTCTAACACCCAGAAAGCAACGATGTGTATATATATATATTAACATTGCCGTTTAGAATATGCATATCTAATGTGTGTATGTGTGTGTGTGTGTGTGTGGACGTATGCGCCATTTTATAGTTATTAGATCGTATACGATTTTACTACAACATAGTTATTTTACTGTACAGTTATTTAAAAAAGATACTCGTCTCGTCGTTGGTCATTTTTATTGGCTTACATCTCACATATATTGAGCGCAGTAAAAGCTGCGGAACACATGCAAACGTCTCGAAAGAGGTATAATATATATATATTCATACATAACATGATGTACGCACGCACGCAAATCGAATGGAGACCCGTTTAAAAAGGATTTCCACATTGGAAACGAACGATTTTGGCATTTTATGCATCCCCGAGTTTTATTGGCCTCGATGCGAAAAGGAAAACTACCGGGTATTGCGGTGGAAGTGGAAGAGAAACAGATGAAATACACGCACGTACACTCACACGCGTGCATTCATGTTTTATACCGTGCGTGCGAGATAGAAAAGCGATCGGA